TCCACCTAAAAGTATATTAATACCGCATATGCATTTTCAATAACAGCTGTAAAAATTCACTATTCGCAAATTTCAACTGCAACCTCAAATTTAAATTTACGTTCGAAATAATATTTTTTTGCTCTTATCCTGTAGTTTAAAAATTCATGAATCCTTTTTCGTCTTTCCTGAACGAGTTCCTATATAACTTTGTTTAATTAAAACTTTTCAAAAATTACTGAAACTAATGCCATGTTTTAAACAGAAACAATAAAGCATTAGTATTTATTGCTACATACTTTTGAGCAAAAATATACAAAAAAAAGTTCGCAAATTTCATCATTAGTGTTGCAAATCTTATATTAATAAATTGTTAGTACTCATTCTTCACTGCCTGAAACAAACAACACTGATATCAAATTGATCTGAGCTTTACTAAATTTAGAAGGTTTAAAAAATAGTACATGTACCATTTATTCTACTAATCGCAGTCCTAAAGTAATCTTATAAATGCTAACAGAGCTTTGATTTATATGATCATAGTTGCGAATTAATGTTTCATCTTGTAAATTCGAATTCGAACCATATTTCTTTGCACAAGTCAGCCAACGAATCGGACAACCAATTGCTATATAAGTGAAAAATTAAGCAAGAATTAACTTTTATGTCCAATAATTTACTTCCATATAACACTCCGCTCTTGTGTAAGAATAACTTAAAAAAATTATTTTTAATTAAAATTTTAGCCAACGTTTTTTGTCCATTTACAATTGTTGCTTTATTTAAGTTTTGCTAAAATACAAATATTGCATACAATGTTTATTTTAAGAAATTTTTGACTGCAAATTTTTAAATTGTAAAAATATTTCCTAACATTTATTCGACTCGTTTTTTGTGCTGCTTTCAGCTTGATCTAATGGTTCGAAAATCTGCAAATAAGAAAAAAATATAACTTTTGTTAGCATTACAAAAAATACACATAAACATGTCAAAATGACATTATTTTGCTAGTCTAAAATTTGGCAGAATTCAAAAGTAGCTAATTAGTTACGCCTATTTCCGAGAAATCTTATCATTACTTTGCGAAGAAGTTTTGCTTCTTTTCTTCGTCAAATAAGGCCTTTGAAAAGTGAAGATATTGATGTGCCCTTTTAACTTTGCTCAGTGATGCTCAAACTTTTAACTTTGCTCAGTGATGCTCAAAATCTTTTAACTTTACAACTATCAACTTGCGTATTTCAAAAAGAAAAATTAAGCATATACAAATCTTCATACTTTCATAGATTTTTTAGATTCAACAACAGTTGAAACCTTCATTTCTTCACTAGGAATTAGTGATGTTTGAAGTGCTAACCTGCCAATTTCTTCTAACTTATCATTAGATAGTTTTTTCCTCTGAAAATAGATGGAATATATACATAATAAAGATAAAATTATAGTATAATAGTAAAAATTCTATGTTCAAAAAAAAGATTTATGACTAAATTTCGAGCTATACCCATGTTAATGCACAAGTTCGTTTGATGTTGTCTTATCTCTCTTTTTTTTCATGTCTCTATTTTGCAAGTGATTTATAATTGTGTACATTTATTTTTACAATATTAATGGGTTAGACTTGTAATATGATTGTTTACAAACTATTTTACCATATATCTGTGAGTTTTACAGTTTAATAAAAATCGATTAGCTTTCTCTTCCATGTTAGCTCTCTGAATCCAGCCTTGTTTTTCATCAGCAGGCAACTGAAAACTGAATTCTGATTAGGCAAGCATATCAAATCAGTAAACAAAAATCTTTCTGTGTCATTAACTTTTTTTTTAAAAACAGAAAAAATTAAAAAATCTGTAAGCATCGCATAAAATTTTTTAAAAAATCGCCATGTTTTAATTTTTGTTTTCATCAACTATCATTAAGATTTAAGCGAGTGGTACATTTCCATTGAATTTTGATTGAACAATTTTTCCAGTAATAATTGTCCTTGCTATTATTTTTGTTTGAAAGAAAAAAATCAGGAATTGTTAAAAAAACTTCTGTAAAATAAAGGAATTAATCTAGGCAATTTTTAAACAATAAAGTTATTCGAAAATAAAACGTATCTTAAATAAGCTAAATAAATTTTGGTACTTTGAAGGCAAAATTTTGAAGTACTTGTAATTAAGAAAAAAACCTTATTCCAGTACGGCAGTGCATGTTGTGCAACTTCATAAAATGTTTTAAAATCTTTCGCAAATTTTTTCTCCAAGGAATATCGTAAAAATTCACAGAAGACCAGAAATTCAGCGCAATTACACGCTTGGAAAATTTGCATTTCTGTTGCCTGTTTTTAATTCTTTTTAATTGCATTTTATTGTCATATTATGCAAATAGAAATTACAATTTAAGTGCTAATCCATTACTTTACAGGCTGTTTTTGAAAATGAAGATCTTTACTGCATTTATATACAAATTCATGAAACAATAAATTAATAAAAACAAGAACAGTCACTTACTTCTTCATCATTTTCACGTTTAGAAGAATGAGCAGGAAAATTTTCACTATTATTCAGCCCATTTTTTAAATTTTTGTCATAACCTATCATAAAAATAATATTGATATGAATCCTACAAGTCGTACTTGCACTATCGTTTTAATAAGTAACTTGAGAATTAGAAAAATTCAAAACTATACATATTTTGTCTAATAATGCTCTAATACTAAAAATGTTTTAAATTTAGATGAAATCCAACCTGATTCTTTACTGCTTTTTCTACTAATGCACGGATGTGACAAAAACCAGTTGTTGTGTAGGCAAGCCAATGGAAAGGATATCATATTGATTACTAATATGAAGTCAGTTCAAGTACTGATCTACTTTCTAAAAATTAAGTATTTTATACAACTTTTTCATTGTATGGTCATTAAAATTTTTCGACTTTCAGCATTAAAATTTTTCGATTTTCAAAAAACAAATTATTACAAGATCATAAAATAAAGCAATATACGGACGTAAAAAATTCATGTTTATAAAAGATGAAACAGTGCTCATAAGATTAATTAATGATGTTAATTTGTAAAAAAGACTTCACAAGCCTCTAAAGTGGATCTTAAATTAATACACGAAGAAAGATTTCCAACATCTAACTCCAATCACTTCAAACTTACTTCTAAATGAACATTTGCAAGCATGCATTTTCTTTATATTTATTCATCTCTTTCTTTCACGTGGATGCACACGGTCTATCTATGTCCACGTGAAAGTGCTCCCCAATGTTAGTCATTTAGGTATGTTTAGATGGGAGCAAATGTATGGGAGGATAAAACCAATTTTTCTAAGTTCAGATTGCAGATTTTGTATTACCAAACGTCATTAGCCCCTTCCGTAATAACGGAATTAAACACGCATACGTGAAAGTGTTTTTAACTAGAACCTGCGTGAAAAGCACCTCTTAAATTCATGCTTTTTAAATTTAAACAGGTCTTAGCTCAGTTTCGCGAAATCGCAATTTAAATCCAAACCCGAATGTTCAGTATTTTTTAGTACTTTTCGAAAACATAAAGTTATTAATTGCATTTGAAGAAAGGGATGTGGTTTGTGGCATGTGACTTTCTCCTTCCTCGCGATGGTTATTTTTCCAAGTTCTGAGCTGAACAGTTAAAATCTTAACTTTTGCAGCCCGCATGGTAAGTTGCTTCTTGAGTTATGAGCCAAACAAGCATGACTGACTAGCTTATCGTGCGAAATGAGATTAAGTCAAAGATTATCTATAAAAATAACGATAGTCATGAGTTCGCATTTTTCTGAGCAAATACTTGTCTATGAGTAATTGACTGGGCCAAACTTGGTGCTTTGTTGTGCTTTTGATGCTTGTCAGTCTCAATACATCTTGACAAGTCGAGATTGTTGTTCTAAGTTCGAGAACTCACTAAATTATAAATTGAATAACCCATTATATTGATCACAATCATTTTGCTTTTTTCGTTGCTTAACATGGCAGAAATTTCCTTTTCCTTCACTTTTTGGTAATGCTTCTATATCAGATATTTTTGCTCGGATGAAGATCAGAAAATTATGCTTAATGGGATATTAGACGATACATAAATTATGTGAAACACTGTTAGTACTTCACACAGTTTATGTATCGTCTACTATCCCATTAAGTACAAGTTTTCGATCTTATAATATTGTTTTTTTTGCAGTTGAATGGAAAGAGTCAAGGACAAAATAATCATTAGACCAATTGTGTACGGTAATACAGCTAATTTTTTGGGCAAAAAAAGAGAGGAAGATGGACACACGCATGAATGGACCGTGTTCGTGAAGCCTTATTTTAATGAAGATCCATCCAAATATATTCGTAAAGTACAATTCAAGTTGCATGATTCGTATGCAAATGCAACTCGAAGTAAGTTCTCTTTTGTTTGTGTTAGTTCTTCTCAAATTATTACATCAGACATCTTACTGTTCTAATTAATAGCCTTACAGGTATTATTCATTTTAGCTGATACTGATATCACTGAACCTATTTTACACTCTATGCATATATATTTACAAATTATTACATACTTTTTATTCTTACTATATCGGTTGATAGTTTATTCCTATATTTTACCAACCTGACTCATTATTATTCTAGTCCAGTATACCTGCACTCAATCCACATTCTATTTGCTATATGTGCTTATTCAGTTATCAGTTTAGGTTATACAGCGCGTGCATATTTGTTGAAAAACTAATAATTTTACTTTGGAAAAATTAGTTAACTGAAAATCGTGCAAATATGGTATGCTTCCATTGTAGCTCGGGAAGCAATTTTGTAGTTTTGAATACTTTTTGACTCTCCGTTTTCATCCTTAATTGATGTTATCAAACCTACTATGAAAAGATTACTTTTATGATTGTTTAAAAATTGACAGTTTATATTGTCTTATTCTAAAATGAGCTCTTAGTGGAAAATTTTACTGCATAAATAGTTTGCAACTTCAATTTTAGTGATCGAAAAGCCCCCTTATGAAGTTACTGAAACAGGATGGGGTGAATTCGAAGTTCAAATTCGAATTTATTTCGTAGACGTAAATGAAAAACCGGTAAATGTTTCACTTTTTACCATTTTAACAAATTTTATTTGGTGTCATTTTAAAATTGCACTCGTTTAAGTTTTATATTGTTTTTTATATATTCGCTGAGGATTTTTTGGTTCATGCAAATTCTCCTTTCTGTATTTGCAGTAGCTGCTGTTAGTTTTAAGTTAAAATGTTTACCACTGTGAATAATATTCTGTTGCAAAGTCAGTTGAATTCAGCTTTCTTCAGCTTTAGAAATTTATTTTAAGGTGACAGCCTTTCATTATCTCCGATTATTTCATCCGCAGGTTACACTTCCTAATGGCAAAAAGATGGTCGCTGCAGAATACTATGATGAAATTGTAAGAACTTGGGATACCTGTGCTAATTTATTTTTAAATATACATTTTTAGTTACTGGGAATATTTATTAAAGGATTGTGTTGTAAAGGAATTACAATGTTGCTTTTGAGATGTTTACAAAGTGGTGAAATTTACTGACATCATCATTGTTTGAAATAGGTATTCCAAGAACCTACAATAGTGATGTATAAAATCTTGACGCAGTTAGATAGCCGTAAAGTGGAACCCAGACGTTTCCATACTGATTGTGAGTTTTTATTATATTTTTGAACCAGAGTTTAATTGGCAGAAATATGTTCTCATCAGTCTCAAATATTGGTTTTACACAATTTAATATATTATCCGTTATTTTCGTTACACTGAATGTTTTAATTTTTATTGGGATTTAAAATCTTTCATCGTTTTAGTCCTTTTCGTACGCAAGCGAACGCAAGAAATGATCAACAATGCTAGGACTGAGATTAACAAGGAAATTCAAGATTTGATGGATTCGTTGAAAGCCGCACATGAACTCATTGGAAAGTATTCGAAGGAAGTGGAAAGATTAGAAACAGCTAGTGTAAATGGTGACGATTCTGCTATGTCATGTGATTCTAGTGATAAAGTGTTAGATACGAAACAGTTCTTGTAGATATTTTTGATTTTGCATTAATTAGCATCATTTGATCATTTTTACATTTTTTAAAGATTGTTGTAAATGTTTGGTATGAATGTTTTTGTGCCCCTATTGAGTGTATCATAAAATTGAACTTTTTTTTTCTGAGTCATTGTCTTGTTTGCTGTTTGCTGCAAACTTGCTTAGTACTTTTCTCATTTTTTTCTTTGAATCAGGAAGTGAAGAGCAAATTTGCAATGCTTTTGTACAGTTTGATTGTTGCTCGTATATTTGATATTTATTAGTCATATTAAAACTGTATGCTCCAAATATATTTTAATTTCTGTTTTTCACTGAGAAGGTTTGTGGGCGCGTTGCATTAATTTGTTTATGACATAGTTCACACTTTTATCATTTTACATCGTAGTATTTGGTTGAAATGCAGTGTTTTGTTCTAAATCATCTGCTGTTGAGTTTATTATTGTAGATAATGAAAGATTTAGTAGTTTATATTTTATATTTTGGAAAATTTGAAATGGGTGATTTTGCTGCGCATTCAGCATCACACCCACACCCTCACGGTATCAATTTTGAAGAAAACTACTCAGATATTTGTTAAATATAGAAGGAGTGAAGTAGAGAACTGGTTCATTTGCGTTTTGAGGAATTAGCAATGTGATTCCTCTTCCTAGCTCATCTGGTTACTCTTCAGAACAGGTCTTCATGTTTCCCTACACTACATTTTTCTTTTGCTTCCAAACATTTAATTCTTTGGTAATCAATGCTCAATGCTTGCAAATAAGTACAGGAAGCTCCGCAAAATCTTGCAAATACGCTTATTTTTTTCCCTGCATAAGTAATTGGTAAACGTCAGTTGGATATGACCAAAATTCATATCACTGATATCACCAGTTAAAAAATCATCTCATTTTTAGATCATCGACTGAAAAGTCATCTCATTTTAAGGTCAGGGAAGTAACCATCTCAACTGATAGATCATCTCATTTATTGTGGTGAACTGAAGGGAAAGAAGTGACTCTTTCTGATTTAAATATAATCAAAAGTAGAAAGAATTTTTAATATTTAATTATGATATTCTTTATAGTGTTTAGGTTAAGAATTATATTATATTTTACTTTACACATTAAGTCATATCCGTTTGTTAATTAAAATGCAACCAATGTAAGGAATTTAAGTAATTAATATGTAAGCAGTGAAAAAATCTGTGACAATTAGTAGCAAATGTAATAATAGAAAAGTAACTCTAAAAGTAAGTATTCAATCACGAACTGCTATTTGCTGTTCAATTTTGAGAAAGTATGAACTGTTTAGCAGTAAAATTCTTGAAAAATTAATTTAAAAAATTTTCTTTCGAACAAATTTACAAAAGTTTAAATGAATAAATTGTGGTGTACAGTAATTAGTGAAGTTTGCATTCTTTTTCCTTCACAATTGTACTCTTCTAAATATCAGTGCACAATTTTCTTCGTTTTACTTTTAAGCTACCGTAGCAATGCAAACAATATGCTCAATTTTTTTTCATATTCTATCTAATTTTATTAATCGAACTTATTTTTCATTTATTAATCAATACACACTAATAATTGTGTACCAAAAATATTTCAAAGATTTTGTTTTCAGAAGTGATCAAAATATGCAGTTTGCTAAAAACAGAAATAACGGTGAATTGTTGATTTTGCTCAAAAGAAACATAAATAATATTACGATTCAAATATCACTTCCAAAAAATGTCTGTTTGTATTTTTGAAAGTAATTCTCTAATCACACTAATAACACTTCGTCTTTTGACCCCTAACATTTGCATTGTAACTTTCTATCACAATTATTTGTATATTTCCATCGTGCTTAATAACCCACTCATAGTACTACATTTGAAAGTATTTACACGTTGATTCAGTCTCAAAGATTGAAAGTACAACGTGTATTAGGCATTGAAATTGTAAAACTAGTCTTTTAATGCTTTATATCTCAAAATAAAATTTATTTGTTTTTTGTCATTTTTATAAAAAGTGAATTTTTTGTTGTATTTGAAGATGGAGAGGAAGCTAAACATCGCTTTTGTGCATAAAACATTTCTGCTAACTTTTTGCACTGTGCATAATTTTATGATTTTTAATTCTGAACTCAAATTAAAACTTTAATTTGGCTTATTTTGCTGGCTTATTCTAGTAACTATGAATTGAATGTGTTATTCTTTACAAGTCTGACTGTTTAATTGTTTTTATATTTAATATATTTCACTAAAGTTGAATGGAGAATGGAGATGTTGTTCAAAAGTGTTTTATTTTTATATTTTATTTTAGAAAAAGAAATATTTCCTGTCTTTATTTTATTTGCTGCATAAGCTACAAACATTGCTTGTGTCATAATAACAAGTTACACGTTTTATATTACGCGGAATAATATCTAATTATACTTTTTGATAATCACTAAATAATGTACGTTTTTATCATTGTTTATTTTAAATAATGATATGCGTGAATAAATTTTACGCGATTTTCTGTATACGACCGATCAAATTAAAAATATATTGTGAGTTTATTTGCATAATTTTTGGGCAGACATTCATTCATGTCGTGATTTAGTATTATTCTTCTCATTGTAAACAACAGATAAAATCCTTTTGTAAAACAGAAAAATGAAAAAATCTAAAAGCTATATTTACTCTGCAATACATCGAAATTGAAATATTTTTGCTTACATTTATTTTTGTCACGTAATCAATTACTACTTTTTTATATCACGTGAATGATAACGTGACTAGTTTATTTTACTTGGCATGTATGACTATTAAAAGAATGATATAATTTTTTGTCCTTTTTTTGATTACAAATAATCAGTTCTGTTTTGAATTTAAGACGGAGTACTAGCAAATATTTTTAAACACTTTGAATGTAAAGAATATTTAGATTATGAGATTAAAAAATGTCAAAAATTATC